TCTTTCCCTTAGTGATTTAGGAGTCTGTGGGGCATCAGGCTACCCTTCCTCCTTGTCAGTCTCTGCCGGGCACTCTTGGATCAAAGGTGGCTGGAAGGATGGTGAGTCCAGGGCAAAGCTCCTTCTCAGGATTTTCCTTGGGAGTACAGAATTCATCTTTGGGGGAGACAGATTCTTGGGGGAGTTTGTGTGTGTGAGTGTGTGTGTGTGTGTGTGTGTGCATGTGTGTTAATATAACAGGGAATCAGAAATGGGGTCATTGCTTGCACTGGCATTCTTTTTGAGTTCTAGGCTAAGTGGACAGATACGAGCAGATATGGTAGAATCCTTATGCCTTCAATTAACTTTGCATAAATATGTCTCTATAATTGAGTAGGGCAGTTTGAGATGGAGATAATCATGTGAGTGAGGATTTCATGGGCTGAGCAGCAGCTGTGCTGTATGTCCTGGTTTTTTCCAGCCTGTAATTTTCCCATATATATAGTACAAAGCCCTAATAACGGTCCCTGCTTTTTCCTCACTTGTAACCCACAGAGGTTCCTTGTCCACCAGAGCTCTCTGTAATGACCACACTGCCGTATATAAATCCTCTGAAAATAGATATGTGTGTGATGATCGGGAGACACAGGATTCTGCAATACTTTTTTAATTATCAAAGATATTTTGATGTGTTTGGGGTGGTTTTCCTGGATTTTATTACAGCCACTTTTTCTTGAGAATTAAAATCCACGTGGGTTTTACATGGTTCATCAGAGTCTTTGATTATAAAGTATGTCAGTTATGTCTCAATAACACTGGAAAAAAAGAAAGAAAAAAAGGCATCTGACTGAGCTGAGCTTTCTGGCTGTGCGGGCTAATAAACTGCTGTAGTTCTCCAGTAGTCCTTTTCAAAGATTTGTGCCTGGGCTGAGCCCGACCTGGGGACTGATAAGGGATCTTGGTGCCTATTAGAATTCTTGGCACTCACAGGTGTTCCTGAGTGTAAGCGATCTGAAACTGTCCAGGAGGAACAGAGGGAGGAGTTCCTGGGGCACTCACACAGGATTAGAGAACGGGTCCCAGCGCCAGGTTTACGGACAGGCCGTGTAATGCAGATGGAATAAGAACTGACTTCAGTATCTTCCCTGAACTCACACCAAGAACTTTCTGAGAAAGAGAAATATTCCCAGTAATGAACGCGCAGCTCAAATCTTCCCACATCTACACTGTGCGACGTTGACTAAAACCGAGTCACAGGAGAGGCTCATCGCTTAGTGATATTCCCCATCTGACCCAAGAGGACAGGCAAGGTCAAATGACTCCTGCTTCATCAGGATCATGGGGAGACTTAAGGGAACAAAGAGTAGGAAATTAGCACGCCGAATGAAACCTGCAAATAACCCTGAATTTCATTTCAGTCAGGCTTTTTAGCAATAGCTTTAACATTCTCTGAGAAAAAGAGTAGCTGGAACTGTTGCCCTTGAGAAATCAAGAGGACCATCAGATGACAGACTTTACATCTTTACAGACTATTATGCACCATGCAGCGCGTTCAATTGTCCAGTCTTAAGAGTCTGGACCCACCCCTGTTTTTCACACATCCCAGCTTTGCAACAAGAATATCTTCAGATTTGCCTGAGACTGAAATGGGGCAAGACTTGAGGATATACTCTCAGTGCCCTCAGGTCCTCCCATGCCGACCACTGGCCACCTTCCGCTCCCTTGGGCCACGTGGTCTGGGGGCCCCCCACTCACCTCCAGCACGATTTCTTTCAGTTGGAACTGTTTCTGTGCGACTTTATCTGAAGACACGGGCTCATGGTAGTAGAGGCAGAGCAAGTCGTATTTCTTCAAAACCTGCTTGAAGTTCTTCTCAGTTAGACTGACCACGCGGTCCTTGCCGTCATAGGTGGGGAAGTTCAGCCCCTCCTCTGCCCTGCAGGAGGACAGCAGGTAGACCACCACCACAAACAGGTGGGTTCTCTTCATCTGGGCAAAGTTTTGTTTTTCTTTCCCCAAGACACCGTGTGTAGGAAAGAGGCTGGTGCCTTAGAGGACTTGTTGGGAGCAGCGGGGAGCAGAGAGGCCGATCTCGTCTCTCTCCTTGGCCCTTCCTGGGCCCGAGAACCCCCTCTTCGCCTTCTCCGGCTACTGACTGTAATCGTAATCGTGGGCTTGGGACGAAGCGTGCAGAGGCTCACAGCCGTGCCTGTGTAGAACCAGAGCCAGGCTAGGCGGCCCAGCCCCAGATACCTCGCATAGCTCTGCCGAGCCCCTGTCTCATCAGGAACTCCATTTTTAGGATGCAGTTGTTTCAGGCTAAAAATAAATCATGCAATGAATTAAAAAGTTAGATATGGCACTGTTGAGGGCTTCGCTGATACAGTTTGTCAGGCCGGTGGAGGAGGAGGTGGGAGGGAGACGGGGGGACGTGTGCACATGAAATAGGGAGGGCGGGCAGGTCAGAGGAGAGAAGTTCACTCAGAGGGAGGAGGACAAAAGGAGCGGGGAGAGACATGGCACTCGGATGTGCACAGGGCCACTCAGACGCTGTTGAATCGGTCTATTACCCCAGGGAACTATTTCAGTCTGTCCCTTCCTGGCAGGCTGCTCATCCCCTACCTACTCACTGCTGACCTGGGCACCAGCCGGACCCCCAGGGGGACTTGACGCTCTGCACCTGCCTTTTCCCTGGCTGGCCATTGCGCCGTGTCCCCATGGCTCTGCCGGTCACTGGGCGAGGAATGTAGGGTCACCCTTTCTCCACAGAAAGCGTGGAGCTTTCCAGGAGCCCGGCCGACCCGGGGTCACAGTTCCTCTCCTGCCCCGGCTCACCGCTGAACGCTGCTGACACCAGGAGATCCTGCCCCATTATAAAATTAAATAAGATAAAAGTTCAACAGTCTTCCTCAGAAGCCTTCTTAGGCTTTTCGCTATCATCCCCGTCATCTTTCTTTTTTAAGCTTAACCCCCAATGTATCATTTTTGCCCTTTTCCTCCTCATTGGAGACAGACTGCTGTAGAGAGTCCAGGAGCCGGACAGATCTGAGTTCAAAGACGTGCTCTGCCTCTTAATGGCTGAATAGACTTTGGAGGGTCACTCACCCTCTCTGATTCTCAATCTCTCCCCCGCACCAACACCCACCATGTAAAATGGGGATAATTACGACTATATTGTAAGGCTTGGAACACAGAGATGGAAAGGCATGGTACAAAACAGTTACCCAAACACGGCAGCTATTATAGTTACTTCATTCTTCCTGGAGATGGTGGAACGTAGGTTATTGTAATAATTACTTCTCAGTTTCTAATAGTAATGGTTTGTGAACCCTTTTCTCTCTGCCTTCTTGAATCCAGCAGGCAACTGGGGCAGACGTGATCAGGGCTCATTGCACAGGGGAGCTAACTGAGCTTCAGGGAGCTCGGCACCCTGTCAGAGATCGCATTATCAACTGCCTGCCTTGGGTTCAGCTCTGCCTTGGAGCCTGGTGCTCCTGGGTGCTTTCACTCTGATGGGGCAATTCCCCCACAGACACTTCTTTTCTTAAGTGGCTCCATCTTTTCTGGTCAAACAACAGTCCACCCCTGTCTTTCCACTCTTTAAAGTAGTCTAACGGCTCTCATGATTTAGGCCAAATTTTTTTCTTCTTCTGGTTGGAAAATCAGCTTTGGAAATATCAAGGACTCTGTCCCATACAAACTTTGCAGGGAACAGAAGGAAAAAAGAAGTTCAGTGGCCTCCATGAGTGAAAGCAAGCCCCTCCACTGCAGCCAGAGGTCCTGATGCTGACAGTCAGGCTGACGGGAGTTGTCTTCAGGACAGGTTCATGTCCAGGAAGCCAGGACCTTGGGGAACCCCTCGCTGAAACCCATGACAGCATTCAGTTCTTTCTGATGGTGAATTCTCTAGGCTTTTAAAGATAGAGCCAAGAATAGCCATTCTAAGATGTGGTTGGGTTTTCAGGTCACTTGCAAGCCTGCAAGATCTCTGCTTTCTTTAGAAAATTTAAGGGGAAAATGATTTTTGAGTGAAACAATGTATGTCTTGTCTTTTCAAGGTCAGCTTCCCAAAACTGTTCCCAGTTGTCTCAATCTCACTGGCTTATCTTTATTTAGAATTTGCTCCACTTCTCTTAATATATGCTTTTTTTTAATGTTACCAAAAAACTGAGAGATGTTTAAAGTCAGAGTCTTTGAATTTCCCACTGACTTGCAACTGATGAAAAGTACCAGGGTAAAGGGATAATTTTTAAAAATTCAGTTTAGCCCTCAAGTCTGGCTTATGACCAACTGTGTATTAACAGAAAAAAAGCTCCAGTGTGGAAAGTTCCTGTCCCTAAATCCTGGCTCAATTTGGGGCCTCAAAGCCCAGCCCTGAGGACGGCATGGCCACTCACACGTGTTGTGGTGATCATGTTTCCCACTGTCCACCCACACCGAGACACGGGGGCTGAAATGCGTGTCCCCCTCTTAGGAAGGTTAGGTTTGCATGATCGACTTTTTATGTCCCAGCCATTTTTTTCTGACTACTTTTTATTGTTTTTGTTTTTCCTTTGCCTTCTTGCTCACCAACCTTAATGTATTTATTTTTTATTATTTTTGTGTGTGTGTGTGTGTGTGTGTTAGTTTCTGCTTTATAACAAAGTGAATCAGTTATACATATACATATGTTCCCATATCTCTTCCCTCTTGCGTCTCCCTCCCTCCCAATGTATTTATTTTGTAAACAAGGGATGCTTCTGACATGTCTGAGTCAATTTGGCATCTAGCAAATCAGATTTTCATTCCAGTTTTAGCAGCTACCCAGGTCAGGGTGTCACCTACACATGCCTAGTTTATGTGACTGTGCTGAATTGTACGTGTCTTTATGTGCCATTAGCAGGTATTTTTTGTCTTTGTTTTTAAACAAGAAAGGATAAAACAAAGGGAACAAATCAATATAAATGTATGTTAACTATTGTCACGATATATGACATAGGCCCCTTGTTTTTGCTAACAATTTCCAGTGCCTCACTCCAAGTGGCCACTCCCTAGAATCCCATATTCTAACCTCCCCCTTTCATTTGTTTACCCTTGACAGGTGGCAGGACCGTTTTGCATATATTATTTAACTGGATCTTCACAATAACTCGTTTTACAGATGAATCAGGATTTGAAGCCATGATCTTTCATTTATTTGTTAATTAAATACATTTTTATGGGGCACTTTCTATGTACCAGACACTCTACTGGGTACTGGGGTTGGACACATTATTCATCTGAACTCACTGAGTTTACATCCGAGACGGGAGATGAGCAGTAAATAATCAATGTACTTAAGGGGTATATGTGTGTGCACCCGTATAAAATAGGACTTCAAATAGAGGCACGTGCTCTAAAGAGCAGTTGAGAAGGACAAGGGAGAGCCTGCGACAGTGGGTGGGAGGTGGCCCTTTTGGACCGGGGGTGAAGGAAAGCATCTTCAAGGAGGGAACCTAGGAGCCGCAGGGAGGGCAGGGCTGAGGCAGAGAGCATGCTTCGTCCAGGGAGAAGAGGTACGTGCCTCCGCACTGAGACCTACGGGGATTCCACCACTAGGGGGCGTTGCATCTACCTCTGATGGAAGCATCAGTTTTCTCTCTCAGACTTTTTTGTCTGTTAGTAAGACGTATGGGTTCACACCTACATGGGTGGGTCCACAGGGTAGGGAACCTATCTGAACGACTCGGAGGCAGCTCAGAGAGAGCTGTGACCCGGAAGCCAGGACACCTGGATCCTGGGCTGGTCTGACACAGCTCAACCCAGCTGTGTGACCTTGGTGAGTCTCCTTACCTCTCGGCCCTCATATTTCTAATTTGTGGAAAAGAGGGTCAGACTCACTGGTCTCCCATGGCCGCTTTCTGGCTCTAAACTTCTAGAATTTGTTCTGCGCATAGAATATTTTCTTTCCCAGGATAGGCCCTGGCACAGGCCACAGGTTTGAGGAAGTTCGTTGACTGTTACCCGCGGAAGAGGGTTTCATGGGCGTGACTCTCACAAGTCCAAGACAGAGGTCTAGGACTTCACTGCCTCCAAAAACCCTTTCTTTGGCTAAAATACTCCACCCAGTGGACAAAGCGGAGTATGGCACCTTTCTTTCTTTGAGCCCATTCCTCCCATTCCTCCCATTCCGCTGCGCCACCGGCCAGGGGGAGTCAGCATGCTGGCCTGGAAGAGAAAGTCCCAGAAATGCCTGGGTCTACAGCTGGGTGCTGGAGGCTTCCTCTGGTCAAATCAGAACAGTCCTGTCCGCAAGCCCAAGGCCTTCCTTTTCCTCTTGACTCTGAATATCAGGCAGCCCCAGGAGCCTTCCCTGGTCCCCAGCACCAGAAAACTCCTAAATAGAGCAGAGAAAGATCAATGCTAGGTTTAAAAAGAGCAAGGTTGTAAAACCGTCCAGATCTTCACGAATGTCACTTCCTCAGGGAGGCCCTCAGGGTAGACCAGGAGCTGACATTCACTCCCCTTAGGTACCAACCATAGTTCTCCTTGGGAACATCCCTCCCATTGGGGATTCTTTTTTCCCCAGCTAGACTGAGCCTTATAGGAGCCAGGACAGCATCTGTCCAAAGTATTCCTTGAAACCGGCCTTGCCAATAGTAGTTCTCATTAAATATTTGTTAAATAAATGTGAAGCACTAACTTTGTACCAGCTCTTATTTTAAGTACTTTACACAATTTAAGTTATTCTTCTTAAAAACCCAGGAGGTTGATAGTTTTAGTATTTCCTAGATGGGTAAGCAGAGGTACAGAGAGGTTAACTGACTTGCACAGGGTCACGTGGCTAGTCATGGCAGAGCTGGGGTTTGAACCCAGAAGGTGGACTTTGTGCTTTGTTTCTGTTTTCTCTACCACTTGCAACCACAGCTAGATGCCTCTCACAGGGGGCTCATGAAATCACTTGGACAAGCCAGAAATTGCTTCAGAACAATAGATGGCTTCCCACAATGTGAGACTGCTCATTTGTGGACATGTTCTGGGTTTTGGCCCTGTACTGAGTCACCTCCTGTGCTTTCTGTGTGTGTAAGAGGAAAAGCAAGAAGGGAACTAATGTTTTCAGTGCTTGCTATGAGCCGGTCATTGGGCTCATTACATTTTATACATCATCTCATTTAAAATTCTATGAAGCTAGGTATTATTCCTTCCATTTCACAGATGAGGAGACGGATTCAAGCTCAAGTACT